TATAGTCTTTCTGCAGTTTAACAACTATGGTTTAGTTAGTTATTATTATTCTATGATTCTGCCTATCACATCCACCTAGCATTAGCGCGGCTGTGTTGGTGTCGTAACACTTTCTTTCTATTCTTAAATAATATATAACTAAGCTTCCTGTTAACCCTTCTAAAGAGTATATTAAAGCTATTTTATAGAGATAAGATTAAGAGATATTTCCTTATTAATCTTAATTTAAGTTCTTAGGTTAATAGGGTAGATAATTATATATTTTATTCTATATCCTTTAATAACTATCCATCCTGTAACCTAATTAATGTTAGGGTTAAAGTATTTTAGCTAGTCTTAACCTAAGATAATATTATACTCTGTTATTTTAAGGACCTAGGGAGTAATAATATAGCACTAATTACCTAACTTAAGTAGAATTTAAACTTAATATAATATATATATAAATCTACTATTTAGTAGATAAATCTACAGTTAGTTAGTTATTTATTAGAACTAAAACTATAAAGGGGGTAATAAATTAGCTAGATATTTTAATATAAATATATAGCTGGAACCATAGTCTAATAATATTTAGAGATAGACCACTATCTAAGAAGCTTTAAGTATAGCAGGGAAATAGAGAATATTAGATCTAAGGGTATTTAAATAAGTCTTAATACTATTATAATCTTCTTATTCTAAATCTATCTTTATTATATTAAATAATCCTTCTTATAGTAGCTAATTTTCCTTATTATAGTCCTTATTAGAATTAATATAATCCTTTAGTAGTTTAAGATTATTAAATACTTTATATTCCTTAACTTTAGAAGCCTATAATAATTAACTAACTAATACTTCTATATCTAGTAGTCTATTATTTTTCCTAACTACTTTTTATAATTTAATTATAGCTAGTTTAGTATAGTATAAGCTTAAATATTATAGCCTTTTTATCTATAATTAAAGTAAGTTTAATTAGTCTAATATTATACCTTCTATTTATATATTCCTTTCTTTAGTTAGTTAGGAGATGCAGTAATAGCATTTAAATTAATATTTATTAGATTTATTTAATAATTATTAATTTCTCTAAAAAATTAAAGCTAGACCTAAATATATAAGGCTACTCTCTATTTATACTTAGTAAAATAATAAACTATATTATTAAAAGTAGTTAATTTATTATAATCTTTAGCCTAGTAAGTATGCAAAACTAGCTTTAAATTAGTAATAAACTTCTAGATTAATATATTATTAAGAATTCTAGATTTAATATATTCTATAGCTTTAATTAGGGAAGTAGTATAAGATTATATAGTTTAATTTTCTTAGATATATCTCTTATACTCTTTCTATCTTTTATTCTCTTCTCTAATTTCCCTAAAGTTATCTTAGATCCACTATTTAAAAGTATTAAGGATAATTATAATAGCTATTAAATTATATTTAGTCTTCTATTTATAAATATCTTATTACTCTTTAGCCTAGCCTATAAGATAATACTTAACTACTATAATCTTTTTAAGTTTAGTAGCTTTCTTCTAAGTAAGAGTTTACTTATTATAAAAGTATTTATTAATCTACTAGAGCTACTTTATTACAGCATCCTTACTATACTTACTATTATATATAGGGATTAGTTTAAGGTTAGAAATCTTTTAATATAGCTTAAGTATTTCAGGGGTAATAGTAGGGAGAGAATTAAAATTAGGAGTAATAGTTATAGCTTCTATAGCTCTATCTAGATAGGTATAATCTAGATAATTATACTAATCTTAGAGAAGTTTAATTAATTACTTATATAACTAGATTAGTTTAGCCTAGGTATCTTTATTTATACCCTAGATAGTAAGAGTAAACTACTATTAGAGTTAAAGATATTCTACCTTAAAGTTATTACTATAATTAGTAGCCTAGATTTAAGGGGTCTCTATACTAGAAGATATAAATTTAATATTATCTATTTTATTAAGTAAAGAATAATATCTAATTAAGAGTAGAAGTTAGATTTAATTATTATTAATATTAGTTTAAACTTATTAAAATAACTTTAATAACTCCTAATTTATCTTTCTTTAAGGTTAAATTATTAATCCTATATCTATTACTATTTTAAAAGACTCTAATAGCCTATAATATCTATAACTTATAATATTACTATAAGGAAGAGTTAATAAGGATATCCCTATAATAAATTATTATTATTATAGGTATCTAGATTAGTCTAAGGAGATTAAAAACTTATTAATCTAAGGTATTTTTTATTAAGTTAGGGATAATTAATATAAGGGATTTTATTAAAGTTAAATTATTAATAATTTTCCTAAGAATTAGTAGATTAAAGCTACTATAGTTTAGATTAATTCTTTATAAGGGGTTTTAAACCTTCCTAGGAATTAAGTATTATGTATTTATTTAATCTAGATATACTACTAGATAGGATATTTATTATTATTAAGGATATAGAGTCTTTAAAGAGTATAAGGATAGGGGGTAGGCTAGTAGCTACCCTATATATATCTCCTTTACTTTAAGGGATTCCAGCTGTCTTTTATATTTTAACCTGAGCTAAGAATAAATATAAGGTCTAACTAACTATATAAATAGTGATATTAGTCACTAGATATCATTGCACACCTAATATGGCTTCTCTGAAGCCATATGCCCGCAGTTGATATCACAATATTAACACTACTAGATAACTATATACCTCTAGAACCACCTGTAATTTCTGACAGTCGACCTGTATCTTGCTGGGATGAATAATATGTAAGGGTAGATAGTTAATTATTAGTAATATTCTTCCTCACTAACACCTCTATTGCTATGGGCATCACTCCTTTCTTAATAGATGAGATAATTGTGTTAGCCGAACCCTGGCTTTTTATTCCTATGGATGCAGGTGACCCTAATAGTGATAGAGCCCATATCACTGCTGATCCTGCGGCCCTTTATTTCCCTCCTTTCTTGATCAACAAGATAATTGCGTCTGCTGAACCACGGTTTTTAATCCTTATGGATGCAGGTGACCCTGGTGGTGATAACACTGAAAATCCCATGGATAGCTGTTTCACTCCTTTAATAGACATAATTAACACTTTAGCTGGACCTTAGAATGTTGGACCAGCACATATGGATGGTTATGCTGAATATCCTTAGGTTACATTAGGATTAAATATATTAAACAACCTCACATTTCCCACACTTAGCTAGTCTGTTGGCGCGGTATTGGAGGCATAATACATTCTTTAATATGCTATTAGCTATAAGGTTGGTGTTAGTTACATTAATTTAGTACACGCGCGACCCTTCTCATTATAAATAACCTTTCCTTTACCATTTCTAGTCAAGTCTTGGTGTGGTTTTCGGGTAGCTTAGCTCCAGGAGAGGAAGTGAGGATGTAGTAAAGAGAGCCAGATATAATAGCCTTGCCTTTAAAGTAGAAGGGGTCTGATCCTGGTATAAGTAAGGGACTATCTAAAATTTAGGGTGTGCCTTTAATTATGGATAGGGGTATTATATAGGCTACTCTTTCCCTAAGTTTTATGTGCCCTATTATTTTCTAAGCCTGTACTCTAAAGCCTTTCAATAAAGGGTGTAGTTCTAATATGTATTTGACTAGAATGGGTTTAAGATTTTTATCCATGCAGATGGAAGTATGCTAGCCTCTTTCTTCCCACTGCGCCTTCAGGAGGAACTTCATAAGCTCATCCATTGTGCAGTCTCTAACCTTCGCAATATAAAGCAGTCGTGGAACTCAAATGATGACGTGAGGTATGGTGCCTGTTAATATAATTATTTAGCAGCAAGGTTGAATGGGGTGCCTGTCACCTATATTCATTTTCATAAGATTAATAGATATCTCGCGGCTTACTTTGCAGTATACCTTAATCAAAATATAATTCCCGACTACCCATATCTTTAGAAATAGGTAAAGGCAGCTGACTTTGCTGGACCTGCAACGAGGCATTGTTAGTGGGGTGGAGGGGGTTTGCGTGCTGTTTTGATGCCCGACTTTAGTACGTGGCTCCTGTCAGACCACTAGCGCACTTTTCCTCATCATTCGGTTCATATCACTGCAGCTGGCATCCCTTCCTTGGACCGTCAGCCGATGTTAGACGAGGCAAATAAATTGTGTGGTCAATGTCTATCGCGATAGACATTGACCACCAGACGAATAGCTTGAGTAATGGCTGCATAGTGTTAGCCACTTACAGACGTTTTTTCTTGCGTTCTCAATTGAGGGTTTGGACATCGTTGACAGGGAAACTTCGATTGTTTCACTCGATTCAGGTTTTCAACCACGGATTATCAAGCAAACTATGCAAGATTGTCCCCTCTCTGATGTGAGCTCACCAAAATGTGGCTATAATACTCTCTCGCCCCACCACGTTCGCAAGGTGGTAGTGCATGGGTTGGTTCCATTGTCTATTCTTTATTCTTGGGTTGTTGGCAGCCGCTACCTGCTCGCTGTTAATGTATGTACTGCTGATAATGCCTGCCCTCGCCAACAGCCATTCATTTATCGTAAATATTAATATTTCCATATTCTCTTTAGTGTGATGAAGACGTCTGGGCCATTTTTTACGCCGAAGGACGGAGGGGACCTTCTGGCAAATTCTTGGCCCATTATTCAGGCATGCAGTACCAAAGTGAGGGAGTGTTTTGCACCTAAAGTAAACATCTCAATGAGGATGACGGAGGGATTCTAGTCGCCCAATGAATCATATGTTCACGTGATATCCAAGCTTTGTCACGTGGTATTACCGTATCATGACTGCTCTCCAACTACTCTGTAGTTGGAAGCAGACATCAACCTCTTGCCAGATTGATTCCTTCTTAGTGATCTTCACTGGTACTGGAGTTACAGGGTATGTTGCCTGGGGGTCGAGCAACTACTCTCGTGATGGAGAACAATCAGTGAAATTTGGTTCCACTCCCACTTCCTGCGGTTTTAAATATTAACAGTTTTGGAGTACATTAAGTTCGCTCATCGATTTTTTTTCCCGTCAAGTATGACCAACGTGAACGCCAGAGATTGGACGAACATCTTTTTCTTCTCCCAGAGTCCGCCCAACTTTATCAAAGTCAACTATGAGACTCAAGTGGATTTCAAGCCTTTCCACCCGGATCAGAAGTGGTTGAAGTGGTTTTTGTGGAAACCGGTAGCTACAGGTAGACCCAGTGGTCAGGATCGAGTTCAAGTGCTTTGGCTAGTTGCTAAGGACGACGGAGGAATGATTCACAAGTATGTGGCCAAGGTGGTGAGTAGCCCGTCGCAAAACTTTTTACACTTGAAACTGATATCAGGCGAGTTCCCTGAATACACCGAACATGATGCCCAGCTTCAGCTCCGACGCGTTCCTGCTCCACGCGACCTGAGAGAAGTTATGAAAGAACTCGACCCCTTCGAGAATGAAGCCAGGGTTTTTCAACGCATTGAGAAGTGTTGTGACAATCCGCAGATCTATTTCCCCCGATTTTATGGGGTGATCACCGACCTTGACAGATCCCGCTTTCGTTATGGCTATCCTAACCGCCGGGCGATTATCCTTGAAGCTATTAAGCCAGAGTTAGCTTCTCGTCGTATCCTAGCAGCACATGACGACAACGAAACTAGACATATTGAATGTCTAAGGTCGCGGCTTCAAAGTCTAGATCTAAGTGATTTTGAAAGAGAGTTCTATTGCTCTCTACTCACTGATCGCTGCCGCCGTCTATCAACATTGCACAGCCTTGCGATCACTCATGGCGACGTGAAAGATGAACATTTTAGGCTTCCGGGTGACTTCCATGATACAGTTCTTTATGACTTCTCTGTTTCATACACTTTCTCTCCAGAACCACCTTACTTGGTGAATTTCCGCTCGCCTCGATCATTGAAGGTTATATCAGACTACGAGCTGGGGTGCGTTGAGGAGCAAATATATAACCGGTAGGTGGTATATCTCAACCTTTTGGCATATGACTGACCTTGCTTGAAGAGCCAAAGAGCTGGACCTTCGTGATCATCTTGCGGAGTCAACTAGCGCTGCTCAGGAAGACATCCAAACTGCACTATTCCAACCTCTGCAGGATGAACGTTTGGAATTGATAATTCTGACAGTAAAGATCAGGCCTGATGGTTAGTCTCCTCTCCTTACCCGCAGGCACATTATTTATCGTCTGATAGCCTTCTCAACGCCCTCGTTGAACTCGGTCTTCCCTTTCCTCGAAGCTATTTGCCCACCTCATGACCCTACTTGGCATATCCGTAGGGGTCGGCAGCTGGGTTGCTATGAATCAGTCTGGTTGTTTTCCCAAGAAACTCCGGACAGGCCAGATCCAGTTACTTTGGTATCAATTGACCAACAGCTACTGACTGATGCTGGGCGCTTGGATGAAGAAAGGGGTTTCTTTTTGCTTTGTCTGGTTCCCAGGGAGTGGCGCGTGGACGGACTCTGTGACCAACTTCTGCGAGTTTGCACATCAATGCTAACCCAGAGTCCCGGGCATATTATTAGTCAAGCCAACTTTTATGAGTACAGGTGACAAATCCAACAGTAGTAGTGCCGGAAAAATTCCGAGCCTTTAGTATCGCTGCATCATCTGTAGAACTGTAGATATACGCCCGATAAGACAAATCGGGACGTCTCAGCTCCTTTACTGGTCATGATTGTAATTATGTACTAGTCTAGATTAAGGTAGAGTTTCAGTGGTGGCGTGAAAACAAAGCCAATCAAGCGAAGCCAAACTTTCCACTCATTCTAGCAACAACGTGCATTACAATCCTCAAAAGCTGAGAGAAGTGGTCTTATTCACGCTAACAATTGCAGAAAGTATCCATCGCTTTGTTGCTGTAACGATCATGATAGTGGTTATCGTCCCAGTTCCCATACCCTTCTCCTAAAGTCATTAAGCATCCGGTACTCTAGGTATCTTTATTTCATTATGGCAGGCTGCAAGTATAAAAGGCCCCGATTGTCGCTTTTGCTCAATCACTCTGACAAACTTCTATCATTATTTCACCATCACAATGCCGGAGCGACTATTGGACTACCTAACAAGGCCCAATCCCACGGTGGTGGTCGAGTCCACAGGGCCTCCGAAATTCACTCTCAACGTTGCCTGGAAGCCAATTGAAAACATTGAGACATGGGATGAGTTCGACTACCAGACCCTCACAACACAGTTCAGGTCCCAGTTGAATCGCCAGGTTACTCTGCCTGATGTTACGTCCGAGTGCCAAGATGGAAGATTCAACAGACTTTACGATGAGTCGACGTTGGAAAGCCTGGTTTCTTCATCAATAATACTGCCGGTATCATCTGCTCTTCATCCATCTGATTTATTCCTCGTCAAGGGAGCGGCAACATGGGAGACCGATGCCTGTTTTCCCGACTGGGGAGCTGGGAAAACAAATGGGCCCCAAAACAACGCCCGACGACCCAAAGCCATTGTTCTTGGAGATACCAAATACCGTTGGTCACACCAGCAGGCCATTGATATCGTACGTTCAAGTCGGGACGGTTACAACCAGGACATTGTCTGTCCAATCGAGCAAGTACAGTACTATTGCGCTACGTACAGATGTCGGTTTGGATTTTTGATAACTGAAACGGGTGCATTGGTTATGCAATTTTCCCAGGAACAAGAAATACAGCAATCACCAAGATCTCAGCAGAATATCACACAGCCATCCCATCAACGCATAACTTCATCCTCAACTATGGACATATCTTCTAGTATATCAGCATCCTTTACAGATATATCACTTACTTCCAAAGATCTGTCAGCTCCAACAATTCATCTAGTGGAGTATGCTTTTATACCTTAGGATGCACACAGCCCCAGTAGATAGACAGTCAAGCTAGCTCTATACTACATCACTCTTCTAGCAAAGGATGGCAGCAATCTCAGACCAGACTACGCCCTGCTTATTCCTATCTCTCAAACACAGCTCAACACTACATCAATATCACCACTTGGTCAGACCAGAATGCAAACAGCAGGTTTACCACAGAGAGAGCAGACACAGGAACAATCAACTAATGCTTCCATAGCAGAACAATATACTGTTGTTAGTCTCAAAAAACATAGCAATTATATCACTTTCTCCCTCAATTCCAAAGCGGTCGCAAAGCATAAGAACAAGTAGAAGGAGAAGGATGATTACCTATTTCACAACAGCTTGAGGGTGAAGGGAAAGAAGCCACAATCCACAACCACTCCTGTTTCTATGGGCGCTTCTCCAGGTAACAAGCCACAATCCACACCCGCTCCAAGTTCAGCGGGCACTTCTCCATACAGATTTGTTGGACAATTATCGGAGCATTGAGGGCGTTTTCGGAACGCTGACGGGTCCGTTGACTTCCCAAAGGAGGAATGGGAAGTTACTAGCGATTATTGCTATCACAAAGGAAAAGGACTTCAAGGGAAGAAGCCTTTAAGCAAAAGGCTTTGAATAGCAAACCAGGGTCGGGAAGCTTTTCTATCTCAGTTGCGTCTTCATATTCAACCCTGGCGATGATCTCTTAAATGGCTGCTTTCATTCTTCTTGACAGTTTGGATCTCAGTTGTGTCAGTATATTCAACATATACTTGGCGATGATCTCTTTAGGTAGCTCCTTTTGTTTTTGACAGTTTGGATCTCAGTTGCGCCTTTATATTCATTCCTTCAGAGTCCAGACTCCTTTCAGTTACTTATGTAGTTCGAATGCACCGCCTTTAAGATCACAATTTGGTTGCTAAGTATGCACCGAAACTAGTTTCCTGAACCAGGTGCAACGCCCAGGTGTTAGTCATCAGGATATAATTTTAATATTGCGTAGCCAGCGGCCCTCGGCTCTTCTGTGGCTGGCAGCCTCCTGTGAGATAGAAAAATGGCAGGCATCTCCTGACCAAATAATTTCTGAGTTCGACTGTTTTTACTCCCTCGATCTTTTTCTTTCTCTAGTAGAATATTCTCCTTGAGGTTATGATATTATGTTAACAGAATCACAAAATGGTTTATGCAGTTTCTTGACTGGGAAAGGCAAATATGGACCTGTCTCACCATATGCCTTGAGAGGCTCTACTTTCGGCATCGGAGAATGCAAGCAGCATTAAGCAAGGGAACTCATGAGGGACAACTGGCAACCATGAGATTTGTCAGTCAAGATGATCTTAGGTCTTTATCGGAATGTGAATGTGAATATCAATTATTTTCTGAGACCACTATGATGCTCATATTCTCCTGATGCATATCTATCTAGATATTCAATCGCCAATGATGATTGCTCTCAGAAAATGCAGCCAATCAATTGGCGCCTCCGTTTTATTAACCCCTTAATTTTGATCGCCAGAGACAGCAAGTTGGCTACCGCACCTCCACGCCATGATGGTCTTCCGATCTGAATAAACTCACGAAACAATCAGTCAACGTCGTCGTCATGTCTACCGACGTGGAGAAACCTCCCCCGCATTTGTGTCAGGATGCTTCCCATCTCCCCTTTGCGGGGGTCCCAAAGCGGAAGCCAGTCCCTGTCGCAGAGGCTTCTCCCGAGCCAGCAGCCATTGCGACGAAAGGATCTAGCGTACAACACCCCACCAAAGCAGCTTGGTGGGACTGGCGACAATTCTCGAAAAAGAAGCGCCTGGTAGTTGCCGCAGTTGCAATCGCGGTCATCTGTCTCCTTGCTTTGATCATCGGCCTTGCTGTGGGATTGACCAGGGGGAAAGGGTGAGTACTTTTAGCGAGTGTCGCATATCACTCGCATTCCATCTCTTCAGGATATGGCTGACCGAGGCTAGCCACTCAAATCTTCCTCTTCCCACCTCCCATGGTGGTCCCTATTCAGGAGATTTGACCTACTACAATCCAGGCCTCGGCTCATGCGGCTTCACCAGCACAGACTCGGACATGATCTGTGCCGTCTCGCATGTTCTGTTTGATGCTGCTTCGACCGGGTCGAATCCGAATGCGAATCCGCTGTGCGGGCTCAAATTGAGGCTTCGTCGAGGTGAATCGAGCGTAGATGTCAAGATTGTTGATCGATGTACGTATTTTGTCGCTTTTCATTTCTGATCTTTGCTTGGCTATATGCGCAGATGACGGCTCTAATAGCTGACATGAATCCAGGCGTGGGATGTAAAGTGAAAGATTTGGACGTCTCGCCCGCTGTCTTTCAGAATCTTGCTGATATGGATCTTGGTCGGGTCACCGTTGAATGGTCGTGGCTGGAAGACTCTCCTGTTGCTTCATTACAGTAATGACTCAGCTTACTCTATCCGCTTTCTTTGTTTCTCTGCTTTTGATAGTATATACCCCTTACGACTTCTGTACATGACTGTCTTTTATTCATATAATTGATCTATTGCTCTACTCAGTATTCTGGCCAGTCAGGATCTATCTGTTCACGCCATGCGCGTAGCCCTCCTTGTATATCACCGACGTATCTCTGTCCACCCCGATCAAGACCCAACTGCTTCAACCTCCGAACTGCGGTCTGCGAGTCGTTCCCAAGACGACACACAACATATATCGGGTCCGTCGATGCAGGAGAGGCTAGGTCTGGCGGTAGCCAGGACGGTAGTGAAGGTTGCGCATTGTTCTCTGAGTTCGTAGAACTTGACGCTGACGACAAAATCCTCGAGATGGGGATGTTGATGCTGTTTTCCAAATTACAAATATCGAATTGCACCTTCTCTCTCACGTCGATGATCGTGGGCTCCTTGCTTATGCTGCCTCCGTCTTGTGGCACTTTCTTAGGATGTCTCTTTCTGAAGTCAAGGGGCGAAATACGTTCCTCCGGCGAAAGTAACGCTTCCAGGCCTGCAACTCCACAAAAGAAGACATAATCGGTAGATCCTGATTTGAGCGTGTCTAGTGTCACGCTGGCATCGGCAGAGCACACCGCACAATTCGCACGACGAACGCGGAGTCTAATGGTTCGAAACGGAGGCGTTGAGTAGGCGGAGAATATAAGCAGAGATGGAGGTGATGCGCTCGAATTCACAGCCGAAGAAGTAATGACCCTGATTGCCTCAAGTGCTTGAAGAACCCCCATTGTGCCTACAACTGGGCCGAGAATCCCGCCGTCAGCACAGCTGACAACGCTGTCCGCCGGTGGCGGTTTCGGAAACACGCATCGATAGCACGGTCCTCCTTTCTTGTGTCCCACTGGCCGAGGAGGGTAGTTCAACACCATGAGCTGTCCTTCCGTCCGCAATGCGGAAGCAGAGACCAAAGGCTTCCCGAGCAGCACGGCTGTATCCGAGATCAAATACCGCGTTGCGGGATTATCCGTGCAATCAAGAACGAGATCGTAGTCTTTGAAAATATCCGGAGCTTCTTGAGGCGTGAGGTGTGCTCTATACGGAACGTATGTAGGATGGGGATTCAACCTGAGACGCGGGAAGCACCCAGTCAGTACCTGAACACATTCGGCGGGGGTCGTTTATTGAACTGACTCTTGGAGATATTCGATCGCGCTGTCTACTTTGAATTTTCCAACATTCTTACTCCTATGCAGAACTTGCCGGTGGAGGTTCGAGCTTTCCACGGTGTCTCCGTCGACCAGGCCCAAGGTGCCCACACCCGCTCCAGCAAGGTACAGCGCTGCAGGACATCCCAGTCCACCTGCTCCAACAATGAGGACTCGTGCGGAACGAAGATTCAATTGACCTATACAAGTGATCAGAAATATTAGCAACGCCATATCACCAAGCTGACGCTGAGGATTGTTGTTTTCCTGGAGGAGCTCAATGCACATACCTTGCAACCCAAGTTGCGGTACAATCATTTGTCTTCCATACCGCTTGTATTCCTCGCCCAGCAGCAGCCACTTCCTTGTCCCATTTTCACTTCTTTTGTCCGCCTCGATTGTTCTCGCGGTATCTTGAGCCTTGACGTCGGCGGCTGCTTGCTCGGCTATTTTGAGCTCGCGTTTCAGACCCTCAAGCTGTGCCTCGGTGGCGGCGATTTGAGAGCGTAAGGACGCGCATGTCTGCTCTAGATTCTCCATAAAAAAGCCAATAATAAATGTATAGGAATGACACTCTGAACTCCGGCACTTTTCCGACCGTCTTTGAAGTCTTGATTTGGCGCATCAAATTAAAACCCCCGCAAGAGAAGCTAATCTTATCGTGTCGACCAAGAATTGCGCTATTCCTTTCTGGGTAATCTCCAACATCCACAGCGCACGTGCCTTGCAGCATATACATTGTTCATGGATTTCTGTGCATTGTTCTTTGCATTGTCCTTGACGATGGTTAGATAGGATCTTCTTCTTCTGCAATAACTCTCTATAAATCATGATGGATCCACTCTGTTCTCAACCGTTAAATCATTACAATATGCTACTCAGGTCACTTCTCGGTTCAATGTATCTTTGGAGCTTCTTCCTCACGATGGTCCGCTGTTCGAAGGCATAGGCCATGCCTATCAAGCTCTCCTCGCTCCATCTGGGTCCAAGAAAGCTGATTCCAAAGGGGATGCCAGGCGCCTTTTCAATCAAGTTGCCACGTGAATTGTACTCAATGGGTGTTCCCGCAGGGAACGACCCAAGAGGGACTGTGATCGCTGGTGACCCGATGATACCTGGTATTTCGTAAGCGAGAGCTGTGGGAAGAATGACAGCATCGAGCTTGTTGCGGGATAAAGCTCCTGTCAACCCTCCCTCTTCCCCGTAGTACAAGCTCTGCAAATGCAAGGGCCAGAACTCGGGAGACGTGTTGTTGATACCGTTAGCAAGCGCGAGATCCCAGATCCCTGTATCACGAGATGGATAGTCCTCTAGTGGTGACTGCTGAGTGAAGCGCCGAATATCTTCCAGATTGTGAAGATTGTTCGGGTTGGTTTTCAATTTCGAAAGATAAGATGCGATATTGCTTATGAAATCAGCAGCCACAACAGCCTCTGGGGTCGGGGTGTTGAGATAGGCGTCATAGCCTGTGAAGTTCGCGTCGTCAACGATTGTCGCGCCTGCTTCAGAGATCACGGAGACGGCGGCCTCAAATGCAGACACTATCGGCTCACTTGACGCGTTCAACGTGCTGATGACGTTCCGGGGTATACCGATTCGTTTCCCTTTCAACCCGGACAACTTGCAAGCTGCGACGTAATTCGGGAGGTGGCTGCCAAATGGAGACGCCAGGGTATAGTTGTCATTTTTATCTGGACCTGCAATTGCTTGCAGAATAATTGCTGCATCTTTGACAGACCTGGCCATCGGCCCGATTGTATCCTGGCGCTCGCTTATGGGGATGACCATGTACCGTGATGTGAGACCGACGGTGGGCTTAATGCCGACAATATTGTTATTCTCACCCGGAGATAGAATGCTTCCACTTGTCTGATCAATCCTCCCAATTTAGCATGCAATGACATGGGAACTCTCTAGATGAAAGTCATTTACCTCGGTACCTAGGGCTGCAAAGGCAAGGCCCAAATCGGCTGCCACGCCACTGCCGCTTGAACTACCGCTTGGATCCTGCTTTGGGTAGTAAGCTGCATATGTCTAGCCGCCCTGGGCGTTCCAGCCGGAGGATCCATTCAGTGACCTAAAGTTCGCCCACTCTGACACGCTGGTCTTGCCAAGAATGATGACGCCTGCTTGTCTGAGCTTCTTTACAACAGTTGAATCCGCAGCCACCTTGGCGCCAACAAGCGCGTAAGAGCCGACTGGTAATCTTGGTCAGTTATTGAGTTGGGATGTCACCGCATACAAGCTTACCAGCTGTCTCCGTCTTGTCCTCGGTGCCGATGTTGCCTTTGACAAGGATGGGAAGGCCATGCAAAGGTCTACCAGCTGTCAGTGAATGGTTGTCTCACGAAGGTCCTAACTGCTGTTATGCCTCACCCTCGTACGAGTCCATGTTTTCTCTCCAAGTCAAGCTGCTGAGCAATGTCCCATGCGTCGGGGTTGACCTCGAGGACCATGTGCAGTGTCGAGTTGACCTCGTGTATCCGGGTCACATACGTCTAATCCCTTTATTATCACCAATGCTGGTTTATGGGAAGGGGGAATACACCAACATTGACCAGGTCAACACTGGAGAAGCAGCCTTTAGTGAGCCCCTCCTGGAGCTCGGCCGTCGTTGCTTCAATCAGGGAGGGGGGCACACATTGACAACCTGTTGTAGCATTCGGCGAACTTCTAGAACTTGATGCAGTGGCCGCAATGTGCAGAAAGGGCACCAGAAACCATTTGCTCCAGTGTAACATGGTTGTTGAAAAATTGGCTAGCACAACCCCGAATGCTGCGATAATCAATCCTGTTGTGAGCAGCCATACACCTCTTCTCAGTTTACTTATATATTCTGCGGAGATCATCTTCCAGGTTGTGCCGACTGCCGAGTCAGGAGATACCAGGGGGCTATGCATCGCTCGTCCTACTGCAAGGGATGTAGTTGAAGTGCGTGTCTTGTCGCTGAGTCAGACTGTCACATTCATTCGATGCAGCAGTTTAGAATCCAACCGCAGTCACAACAAGTTTCAACCTGCGTGAGACACCTTGAAGAACGAAGGCTCTCCAGGACATCTGGTGTTTCTCCTATTTGCAAATGTGCGACATTCCTTGATCCCTGGTAATTATTGCATCAAACTTTTGGATGAAAGGTCTCCCAAGCAGGTCATCGTCTTCTGCAAAAATGCGATAACGGCTCAAATAGTCAACTAATACTATGGAATTTGAATCAAGTCTATACTACATTGCTGCATGAAGAGAAACTGGCAGCCAATCCTCCTAGCTCGCAGATTGCCTCTGTTAGACCTAGCTAGGAAGGTTACATATGACCCCGCTCTTCCATGATGAGACCTTCTCCATGGAACATTCTGTCTCGGCCAAATACTGCGTTTGCGAAATTGCTCAGAATCATGAGTTAGACCTTGTCTTTCTTCGTCTTGCCTACAGCTTTGCCTAATCTCGTTTACGACGAAATTGAAAGCCACTGACTCGTGGCTCCGAGACAACGCGGTATGCACGACGTTCGGTCAGGGACAGCATATGCGCTTGAACAACAAACTTGCAGAGGCCATCTTACCTTGCCAATATAGGCCCATGGACAGGTCCGCAGGTCGAATAGCCGATGACGACCTGGCGATGGAAGCCTGGGCTACCCCTGAGGCGCTTGGATCGGGCGGATGCGTGGCTAAGACAGCCCAAATAAGACATCATGGTCGCCATGCAACCAGCGATGCCAATGAGACTTGGCTTCAGCACCGTCGATCGATCCCGATGAGCAAGAAAGTCGCCGTGGTGACAATCTTGACTGTTCATAGACGCCGAAGCAAAGAGGGATGAACTTGTCGCACTCAGGCAGATCATCTGAAATATGTGAGGAGCATAGTAACCAATTGAATTTGTGCCGCCGAACTACCAGAACATGAGAACAACTGCGAAGAGAAAGCCATTCCAGCTATCTTCTGCAGGAATTCTTTCCAGGTTGGCTCCTTAGTGGCTGCCATCTCGTCTTTAACGGACGTTCTGATCTCAGCCGTCTCTTTCTGTACGTCCGCGTGGTTCGCAGGGTGTTTTGGATGTAAGCTAGAGACTGGACGGCTTCCTCATAGCTACACTTGCTCGCCAGCCAGCCAGGTGATTCTTTAGGGAAGGAGAATCTGATAAACATTAGGCCGCCGGGAATGGGCTGAACCGGGACAGCCATTGCTTTGTACTGGTCGGGATGTGCAGAGTAACCGCATAGTCGAGGCAGTATGCGAAAGTCCTTCCGATCACAAAAGAGACCCGCAACAGGCGCTATGGGTTACCGTCTACTCGAGCGTGTTGTTTGTCTGCACCACGCTGCTAACAGCTAGCTATATGGGTTATAGAAGAAGCGAGCGGAAGCATGACTTGGATTGCCAGCTACGCATTTCGTCTGACGTTAGGAGTATGATAAATTCATGCTTACATCTCAGGTAATCAATCCTAAGCTAGTAAGTTCATATAGCCGGCAACTGAGCCATCAGGAGCGATCAACATTGACCTTTTCAAAAAGACAGGCACCCTGATATCTCGTAGAATAGCAGACGAAACGCTACAGCTAATTCCCACTGGTCCAACTCGTAAAACCAAGGACCTTAACCGAACCCCCCAAAGCCTTGGTAGCAAAGTTGAATATCGCAAAGCGATACCCCATAAAGTATTGCCAGCCGGTATTAGAAGTAAAGGCACCACCAAGCTGGGAGTACGTGCTCCCGTCAGTGCTATAATAGAACGTCAACTGCTTCGGACCGTCCGCACGCGCATCCATCCGAATCTGGAGGTAGACCTGGCGCGTTGAAATAGGCGCACTCCCAACCACGGTCCCGGTACTGGTCGTGGCCCAGTCAATGCTAGCATCCTGTGTGAGCCCTTGGACGGCAGTCACGGTGTAGCTGTTACCGCTGCGGACGACTCCAATCCAGGCGCTTTGGTCCTTGAAGACGGCCAGCCCGCATTGGTCGCCGTCGGCCATGTTGGTGAAGTCCAGCAGGACTGTTCCAACGGGGAACTGGCCGTGGGGTCGATGTGTGAGGGTGTTTCGCGCATGGTACAGGTCGTTGGTGACGGTTGCGGTCTGCAGCGTCAGGCCAGGAGAGTTGAAGGAGAATTTGGTCGTGTCGGGGTTGTGGTTCCACTCCCACATTGGGCCCAGCGAGCTACCCCAGAACTGATCGCCGCCGATCCACGACGGCACACTATTATTCTTGGGAAGAGGGTATGGGTAGGATTGGCCCCAGGCGTTGTTCACTGTCTGGAGGCTGGGGAAGCCATCGGACCCCCAGGTCACAGGGGCAAGAACGGTCAGTCGGCCGAGGGGATAAACCCACGCAAAGGACATAAAGTACCACTGCCCGTTGGGCGTCTCGATGAGACTTCCTTGGACTGGTGCGCCGGAGCCAGGAACGGGAGAGGGGGTGTTGTTGCTGAGGATCTTCCGCTGGTAGGGCCCGAACGGGCTGGAGGCCTTCCAGACCTCGGTGATTCCGTTCGCGGGACAGTCGTCGAGGATGTAGTACAAGCCGTTGATCTTGTACATGCGGTTCCCCTCGATCCCCCCGGGGCACTCGGACGGGTAGCTGAATACTTGCTGCGTCTTGACAACGCTCAACCCATCCGGAGCGAGTTGGGCCACGGAAACGTTATTGCTTCCGTAGGCCACGTACATTGTGTCGTCGTCGTCGATCAAGAGCCCGCAGTCGTAGAAGCAGGGTTGGAAGCTAGCGGATTGCTGCCAGGGGCCCTTGACGTCCGGGGCTGTGTAGACGTACGTAGTCCAGAAATTGACGCAGCCGATCCAGTACCATTTGTTGTTGCTCTTGCGATGGCGTAAGGTAGAGGCCCAGGTTCCGCCGTTGTAGGCCGTCTGGCCGTTTTCCATGTTGTAGTTGGATCCAAAGTCCAGCGTCGGCACGGAATGGCCGATCAGCTCCCAGTTCACAAGGTCTGTAGACTGGAGGATTGGTGCACCGGGGGAGTAGTGGAAATTGGAGCTGGACCAGTAGAATGTCTTTCCATCAGGACCAAGGAAGATGTCGTTGTCAGGGAAGTCTTCATATATGACAGGATTGGTGAATGTCTATTGGGCTTGGGCTGTTAACCCAAGCCCTAAGAGAAGACTAGCAATGAAGCACAACATCACAAGAACGGTTGAATGTTCCTCTGACCATCTTAGGGTTCAGGGTCCTGCAGGAAAAATGTGTATTTATAGTCCTGTCGTCCTGGTAATAGCCTAATTCATCAGGAGTGATACGAGGATTATTAGCCAAAAGACTTCCTCCCGCTTCTTCAGGATGGAAATCTGCAGAGTGATAGGTGGTTTTATTAGAGTACAATAAGATCTGCAGTTTAAGCTTCATTTTATGGCATGGTAATATCCCTATTCGTCGGATATTCTGGTTACGCTTCTGTTATTCGCAGCGGGCCTGAATGCAGGGTAATGCTATAGCAGTGTGGACTCAACGATCTACAGATGCATTTATTATACTATTATGATTGGATACTACAAGTCAACCTGAACCCTGAATTCTCAAGCATCACCCCATTGGCCTATATCGTTTTCCTTTACCGGTCATAGGTGAGACACGTTCAATAGTGAACATTTCCACCACTCATAACGACAGATACTTCCTTCATTGGGTACTTAAACTAATATTGAATGTATTATATTAAGTGGTAGTAGACGAAGCCATAATAGAATCCTAGCACTAAAGATCATTTATCACTCCAGTAATCCCTTCTTCCTCAGCACATCCCTGACAGTCTCCTCGAGGTCCTCCTTCGGAAGACCCAGGACACTATTCCACTTTTCTGCTTGCTCTCCAAACCCCAAGAACCCCCATGGCCCATATGCCACCGCCGTCACCACCTCCGGATATCCATGCTCATAGTCTCCCCCCTCTAGATGATCCACTCCCCGCTGCGCAATCTCTTCCGTAGTCAAATGCTTCACCTCGAACTTCGTCCCGGACAACCGCTCAATCAACTCCAGGAGCTGATTCTGCGTCACCTCAAACGACTTCACATACACATACGCGTTCCTCGTCTCCTCCTCATGCTGAAGGACGGAGATGATCGCCCTCGTCACCTGCCCAAGCGTACTCAAGACAAACGGCCGATTGCCAGAATCGAAAATGCTGACTTTGCGCGCAGACAGATCCCAGCCCATTGCCGCGTTTTCCAACTCAAGTAGCTGCATCAGTTGTCAGCATCAGCGTCGGTTTCCATGCAGGGACAGGAAGACATACCCAATTGATGAACGACCCCGTGCAAATCGCCGTCCAGGTTATCCCCTCCTTGGAATCCAGGTACTCGACAATCTCGCGCTTGGCCTGCGGGAATCGGGCAAAGCTGACCGGCCCCGGCTGCGACGTGTCGCCTCCGTACTCGCTTGGGATGAACCGTCTTACGCTGGGCACGGCGGCTGCAGCGTCGATGGCCGTGCGCTGGATGGCAGCGTCGAAGGTTCCCACGGCCGAGATGATGGCGTCCTGGCCCTGGAAGGCGGCGGTGAGGACCGCGAGGTCGTCATAGTTGGCGCGGTGGACGGCCACAGACGCCGGGAAAGTAGCCTTGGATGAGGGACGGAGGACCACGGAGACGGTGAAATTCGAGGCGAGCAGAGCGTCGACCAGGAGGGTCCCGACGGCTCCGGATGCCTGGCAGTATATTCGTTAGTATGGTCGCGATGGAAATATATGCTACGGGGGGAAGGTGGACGGTACCCCGAGAACAGTGACGTTCTGGATAGGAGACATGTTACCAGATAGCTAATGAAACTAATGAGACTAATGCGCTTTTGCCTTCTGGTTAAGAGAAGCCTTTGTCAGGAGGGTATCTTTATAGTCTGCTGTCTACGGAGTATAAGATACGTATACTCTGAACGGAGGTTGACCGATGCTGACAAATTGCCTCGTATTCGACTTCATTAATAATATGAGCGGCTTTCTGGACATTTCGAAAATAAGGTCTGTATGGTCAGCCACTTACGGCGTGTAGATCAACCAGAGATGTCTTCTTCATTGGCACCTGAGCAGTTAAGTTGGCAGTGGAAGATTCCAGATGTCCTAAAAAGAGTACCTCCGCCTAAGCTTAATCTCACGGTTCATCAGACATCAGCGTAATACGAGTTATACGACTGCAAGGCTTCTCCTAGTTATCTAAACTAGACACAAGCTAAACCAATATCCTTATTTTGAATTCCTTGAGCTTAAATCCTTTAGCTGGGACGCCACAAAAATATCAAACAAGCGTCAAAAAGGGTTGTCGTCTGCAGCTATCCGGACCTGTGACCTACGTCTGGCTACACACAACCAGCACGTCAGCGCCGATATGTCGCCAACTATTATCTGCTCACATCTTCATTGGAATTTCAAAGCATGCAAGTCCAATTTTACTCACCGCGGGCTCCGAGACGAAGGAGCGCTGTACTAATGCGGTGCCCGACAATCTCATCCCGACAGTAATCCTGATGCCTGGAGTTGTCAGATCAGATCTTGACTCATCAGTGAGATCTCTAGAAAACACTTGATTCATATTTATTTCTAGACTTGGTCCTTTTTCTTCTACAAATTCTGCAAAGCAATGAATCGTCTGTCTCACGTCAATGTCTCTGTCGACCCTCGCCATTCCCTACATAGGGGCGTCAGCGATCGTGCTCCTATCGACCCCTCATGCCCGTCAGCTTGTCAGTGACTGTGGAGGCAAGAAACAATACAGATTACTCGGGTCGAGCAACGACAATGAGTCTATTCCCAGTGCCAAGTCGCCACGATCAGTCTGGCAACGCGTGACCCTTGTTGTGGTGGCAGCAGCAGCTACCATCGTGGCACTCTGGTCATGCTTTAGCATACAACCAGTGCTTGCCTCAAGGGTCCTTCATTTTGCCACGTGGGTAAGAGGCACGCTCCTGAGCGCTTTTGAGCTCTAGAGATGACGATGTTCGCAGATCATGATTCTAGTGCAAGAATTAGTCCTCATAAGCCGTCGGAATCCAGAAGCCAGATATCGCCTAGGCTACTACAGCGCCTTGGCTAGTTTGGCCATAGCCATCAGTGTAGCCTGGCCGTATGCTTCGTCGTTGCGCAGCAAACCTGACTTCAAATTAACTTCCCCTGATGCATTGAGCATTGTTCAAATGGTCGCCGCTCTCATTCTTCTCTTCGTGAACCTCGCATTTCCAAGAGGACCTACACTCTACCGCCACGGCCGTCCAGTTGATTCGCAGAAATCGGTCTCATTTCTAAACCGATACACCTTCTCCTGGGCGTACAAAACCCTGGCCATCGCGGCGAAGAATACAAGGCTCAATATTGACGACCTCCCGCTCGTTGGAGACGAAGTGCGTGCAAAGACGCTCTCCGACTCCTTCTTTGCAGTCAGCTCAACCTCGGCGCGATGGAGGAGGTGGCTTAAGCTATACTGGTCAGAGATAGTTTTGCAGGTGATCCTACAACTCTTCGCCAATGCTGTCAATTTCCTCCCTCACTTTCTCCTCCTTACCATCCTTCGCCTCTTTGAGGACCGTGATGCAGGTGCCAGCAACCAGTTGCAACTATGGTTGGCTGCCTTGGGCCTTGGGCTGTCCATGGTGGTCACATCGTGGTCCATATCCCTGAGAGACTTTGTAGCTGATATGAAGCTCTCTCTGCCGATTAATGAACAACTGCTCGCAGTCATTTCCAAGAAAGCCATGAGCTTGAAGGATGTAGTGATATCCACCGGCGATAGCGAGAATGATGATGATGATGCGAGCGACGATGATGATGACGATCAGCCACCCAGAACAAAACACTCGGTTCTCAATCTCCTCGGAGTAGACGTGGAAAGAGTCTCCGAATTCGTCGCCTACAGTCATCTGCTCCTCGACTGCATACTTGAGCTCGGCATCGCGATTATCTTCCTCTTGTACCTGATGGGATGGAAACCCATGGTGGCCGGCTGCGCGATTCCCGTCCTTCTGATACCTTTCTACTACTATTTAACGAACCGGTACAGTGAACAGGAACAAGCCCTCATGGACCGCCGGGACGATAAATCCGCGACTCTTACGGTCTTGATGCGCGGCATGCGGCAGATCAAGTTCAGCGCGCTGGAAACCCAATGGTACCACAAGATCCTGGGGTTGCGCGAAAAGGAGCTGCGTAACCAATACACTGTTTTCCAGCTTGACGTCTGCCTATTGGCCATCTGGACGCTGGGTCCGCTGTGCATGAGCTGTCTCTCAATCGCGACACATATCTACGTGAATGGCTCCATTGCCGTCTCGGTTGCGTTTACCGCCTTGTCGCTCTTTGAAAATTTACAAAGCGTGCTCAGCATGTTTCCAGAGATCTTCACGGATCTACTAGATGCCTCGGTCAGCCTTCGGCGAATCGAAGGCTTTTTGGGTCTGGCAGAACACGAGGACAAGAGAGTGGCAGGGGAGGCTATCTCCCTTCGCGACGCGACCATTGCATGGCCGGCAGTTGCGTCAGAAGATGCAGCAGGGCAGTTCCAGCTGAAGGGTCTCAATCTTGACTTCCCTCCGCAGGAACTCACCATCATCTCAGGACGGAGCGGTGCGGGCAAGTCACTACTTCTTCAAGCACTCATCGGCGAAGCAGACATCGTGAAGGGGACTGCGATTGTCCCTCGCGCTTCAGCCGCCAAGCCGCCAGCTGGCGAGGAAAACTGGATAGTAGATGGTCTGGTCGCATATGTTTCCCAAGATCCGTGGATTGAGAACGCGACAGTACGTGATGCCATCTTGTTCGGGCTGCCTTTTGACGCAGAGCGATATGAAAAGGTCATCCACGCGTGCGCGCTCTCGCACGATCTGCAATCGTTTCCTGACGGCGATAGAACGGATATCGGCGCTAATGGGATCAATCTGAGCGGTGGGCAGAAGTGGCGTCTGGCGTTGGCGAGGGCGCTATATAGTCGCGCTGGTATTCTCGTCTTGGACGATATCTTTAGTGCGGTTGATTCCAATGTTGGTCGGCATCTGTACGACAATGCTTTGTCTGGGGCTCTTGCGCAAGGGAGAACTAGAGTCCTGGCCACGCACCATGTTCGGCTGTGTCTCGGAGGGGCTGCGTACCTGGTGAGGCTGGAGAATGGCAACGTTGTGCAAGTAGGGCATCCATCCAGTCTCGTCCAGGACGGAACTTCCGAGCAAAGACTTGATGACGGCACGTCAGACCCACGGGATAGCAAACCTAAGCCACCTAATCCTGGTCAGCGAACAAATGCTACTCTGCGGTCAGACAGCCAGCCCAAAAAGTACTACGAGGAAGAGAAGCGAGAGCGTGGGGTTGTCAGGGCAGAGGTATACAAGGCTTATATGAAAGCTTCCGGGGGCTACTCTCGCTGGATTCTCGTCATCGTCCTTTGCGTCTTGACACTGATACTGAACCTGGCAGCTCCTTACTGGGTTTCCATTTGGACCAGAGCATACAATGAAAGTCCTCCGCGGTCGATTCTCACACAGCCCGGTGATCGTCTAGACGCCCTCTCGGCCAATTTCAGGACTGGTGGACTGCATTTGGACCATCGCCTTGTCTACTATAGCTCAATTTACTTCGGCTTGGCATTCGCCTCGTGGATCCTGGACATCATCCGTACCCAGATCATCCTCCGTGGCTCCATTATAGCTTCCAAGGTGATGTTCGAACAGTTCGCCGAGACCATCCTCAGGGCCCCCCTCCGTTTCCTGGATATGACACCGGTTGGTCAGATCCTGAACCGGTTCACTTCAGATTTCGGCACCTTAGACTCCGATCTTGCTCTGGATCTCTCGTACCTCCTGCACAGCGGCATCATGATCCTCGGCGTCATCGTCGCGGCCTCGGTAACTTCTCCTCTTATCGTGGGACTTGGCCTGCTGACTCTCTTGGCGTCATGGGCGGTCGCTTACTTTTATGTCACCGGTGCCCGCGAGGCAAAACGACTAGAAAGTACCGCGAGATCGCCCATCTTCGAGCTGGTCGGCTCTCTGCTCACCGGGCTACCTACCATCCGTGCATTCGGGAGAGAAAATGCCTACCTCACGCGAATGTACGATCTGATTGATATACACTGCCAGGCTCTCTGGCACAAGCGGCTATTCTCCTGCTGGATGGCGTTTTGGATGAGCATGGTCGGGGCAATTGTACCTCCCCTTTCACCATATATTCATCGTCACCCAGGCTAACGGTCTAGTTCGTCGCCTCCGTGACAATCACCTTCGTCACCATCCGCACCCTAGACGCCCCCCTCGCAGGATTCGCACTCAGCTTCGCCCTCGAACTGTCAGACCACATCTCCTGGCTCCTCTCGCAGTACGCCAAACTCGAACTCGACGCCAACGCCGCCGAGCGCATAGTAGAGTACACGCAGCTCGACCAGGAGCCCCAGTCCGGCATCCCCGTGCCAGTATACTGGCCCCACAACGGCGAGATCGAGGTTAGCGATCTCAGCGTGAGCTACGGGCCAGACCTCCCACCTGTCCTGCAGGACCTCACCTTCAGCCTGCGCCCGGGCGAGCGAGTCGGCATCGTGGGCCGGACAGGCGCAGGCAAATCCTCGCTCGCGCTGGCGCTCCTCCGCTGCCTGGACGCGCGGTCCGGGTCCATCCACATCGACGGGATCGATATCGCGCAGGTGAGACTACACGATCTGCGCTCGCGGGTAGGCATCATCCCGCAGGACCCGGTTGTGTTCGCCGGCACGGTGCGCGAAGTCCTGGATCCGTTTGCGCAGCATGATGATAGCGAGTTGCGAGATGCGCTTACCGAAG